CAAGCAGGAGGTAAGCTATGAGAATGCAAAGGCATAAGAATGATATAATGGACTTTGGGGACTCAGGGAGAAGGGTGGGGGGATGGTAAGTGATAGAAGACTACACACTGGGTACAGTGTACACTGCTCAGGTGATGGCTGCACCAAAATCTCAGAAATCACCAATAAAGAACTTTTCCATGCAACTAAACGTCACTTGCTCCCCTAAAATTAAAATTAAAAAATAAGAAATGAACAGCTGATACCAACACGGGATAGCTTTGAAACCCTGAAAATTGCAGAATTGCCAAAGCTAGCAATATCTAACTTGCTGAGGGTACAAAATGCTAGTATTTCCAAAATAAGCAGAGAAGCACCTGAAAAGTATCTCTTTTCCACACAGAGACATTTATGGAAAAAATGAGATATGACACACAAATGAGGGGGACCCCATTTAGAATCTGCTGTGCTTCCTCTTAGATATGATATTGGCCAAGTTGCTTAACCTCACTTTCTCATCTGTAAAATGGGAACAACCCATAGAACTGCTGTAAAGATCAAAGATAATGTTTAACCATAATGGCGGTTAACTTCATCATTTTACCTGTATATTACTTTCATAGGCAGATTCTAAAAACACAGGCACTGCAGAGATGCCCAATGTGAGAAGGCTTGGCTGGCTCTTTCTTCAATGGTGCATCCAGGGGAAAGGTAGGAGGTGGGAGGATCCTCAGAACATTAATCTGATGGTTTTCCTCTACATATCCTGAATCCAAACTGGCCCCTCAGCTCTCTAGCCCCCTGCCTTGTAGGCAACACCCAGGTTCACACTGGCTCCACCATTCAAGATGCTCACCAGCCCCTTTTCTCCATTCTCCCCTACCTAGAAAACTCCCCTTTATCCTTTGGGGTTCCATTCATATGTCACCTCCTTGTGGTTGTGATGGGGTAACTGGTTAACTTCTAGCATTTTTAAAGTGTCTACTACGTGAGAAGCACTGTGCCAGGCCTCAACACTTAAGAAAGCAATCACAAGAGAGCCTGCCAGAAGCAACCTAAGTGTCCATCAACAGATGAATGGATTTTAAAAATGGTACATATACACAATGGAGTACTACTCAGCCATAAAAAAGAATGAGAGCCTGTCATTTCCAGCAACATGAATGGAACTGGAGATCATAATGTTAAATGAAATAACCAAACTTCACATGTTCTCACTTACTTGTGGGAGCTAACAATTAAAATAATTGAACTCATATAGAGAATAGAAGGGTGGTTACTGGAGGGTGGGAAGGGTAGTGGAGGGGAGGGAGGGAAGTAGGGATGGTTAACGGGTACAAAAAAATCAAAAGAATGAATAAAACCTAGTATTTGCTAGTGCAACAGGGTAACTATAGTCAAAAATAATGTAACTGTACATTTTAAAATAAATAAAACAGTATAATTGGATTGTTTGTAACACAAAGGACAAATGCTTGAGGGGATAGATACCCCATTTACCTTGATGTGGTTATTATGCATTGCATGCCGGTATCAAAATGTCATGTACCCACAAAAAATAAAAACTAAAAAAAAAGAGTGCCTGCCATCAGGTGCTCACTGTGTCATAGAGGTAGGAAGCAGGGAAGCATTTGCCATTGAGAAAAAAGTAGTCATTTCAAGAAAATGAGATATGCTCTTTGATAAAGGCATGTCTAGAGAAACTCCTTTTCCTCCTCAGCATACAGCTAAACTGCATTTCCTGGTCTTCCCTACAGCTAGATGAGTCACAAAACTGAGTTCTGGCTTATGGAATATGGGTAGAAGTGACATATCCCACTTCTAGGCCTTCCCACCAAAACCTATACAATCCTCCACCCTCTCTGTTTCTCCATCCTCCAGCTGAATACAGAGGATGCCAAACATCCAAGGGAGGGCAGAGCCACAAGATGGAAGGAGTCTGGGTTGCTGAGTCACTACTTAGAAGAAAGCTTCCTTACAGGGACACCTATGTTCAGACTCTTCCATGAGCAGAGGATACAATTTAGCCAATGAGTGTTTAGAGGTGCTGGTTATAGCAACTGGCATATCCTAACTAATATGGCAACTATGGGAACCCAAGAAGACTTTTCCTCAAGTAGCCTTATAATGCTACATGAGTGGTGATCAAGCATGATCGTCAATGGAAAAACATCACCATAGTCTGCAAATAAAATGCTGTCAGACTTCTCATGATGTGTATATTATCTTGAAATCTCACAAGAATATGCAGAATACAAGTTTTTTATGAATTGATTGTTGAGGGATAAATCATGTGAAAGAGATTTGGGTTTTGGCTTTATTTTTATTTATTTTTTAAGACAGAATCTCTCTGTCACCCAAGCTGGAGTGCAGTGGTGTGTGTGACCTTGGCTCACTGAAACCTCCATCTCCTGGGTTCAAGCAATTCTCCTGCCTCAGCCTCCCAAGTAGCTGGGATTACAGGCGTCATCCACCATGCCCAACTAATTTTTGTTTTTTAGTAGAGATGGGGTTTCATTATGTTGGCCAGGCTGGTCTTGAACTCCTGGCCTCAAGTGATCCACCCACCTACACCTCCCAAAGTGCTGGGATCACAGGTGTGAACCACTACACCTGGCAAATTTCTGTCTTTATTTTTAAATGAAGCTTTATATGTACATAACAGCTGAGGTGGTTTTTCCATCTATGTTTATTCTACTGTTGTTCACTATGTTTACATTTGTCCAAGTTATTGTTCTTTAGACAAGAATCAGAGTAAAATCTCCGTCCAAACGTGGCCTTTTCCATTGTTATGAAAGGTCCTGCATTTACCAATTAAAATCATCACGAGAGAGATGCTTTTTCTTATACAGTAAACCAAGTCCCAGTCTAACCCCTGATTGTAAATTAGGCATTTTTGGAAGTAAAATTAATCAGTGTTCAGAAGTACCTACTCTTTTAACATGGATACTAGAAGAAACTGACTCATGAGGTGAAGGATGAATCTATAGCAGGCCAAACTCCACCTTTCCATGGAAATTACCACCAAAATTTAAAATGTGCTCCGTAACTCAATGGCATATGAGTAGAAAATCATTTGGATCATATTTTATAGTATTTGAGAGCTAGGAAGTACTTACGAAGAAATTTTCTAATACAGTGATACCCTCCTGCCCCCCTAAGAAAAGTTAATCATAAGATTCTCCTGGCCAGGCACGGTGGCTCACGCCTGTAATTCCAGTACTTTGGGAGGCCAAGGTGGGTGGATCACCTGAGATCAGGAGTTCAAGACCAGCCTAACCAACATGGAGAAACCCCATCTCTACTAAAAATACAAAAAAAATTAGCCATGTGTGGTGGCACATGCCTGTAATCCCAACTACTTGGGAGGCTGAAGCAGAAGAATCGCTCGAACCCAGGAGGTGTAGGTTGCAGTGAGCCGAGATCACGCCATTGCACTCCAGCCTGGCCAACAAGAGGGAAACTCTGACCGCCCCCCCCAAAAAAAAGATCCTCCTGAGGTGCTTGTTTAAAATATAGATTACTTCCAGTCAGATGAAGTTAAAAAAAAAAAAAAAGATAAATACAGATTACTTGGCCTCCCCTTCAGCTCTACTGTATCAGACTCAACAGAGGAGGGCTTTGGAATCTGTATTTTTAGCAAGCACCCAAGGTGATGCTGCTGACATTCCTAGCCCATGAAGCACACACCAAATAGCAAGGCTCTACCCGACAATAAATTACTTACCTCTAGATTCCATGTTCATCTGGAAAATTTTTCAGAGAATCCTAAATGATGGAATTTTAAGTAAATTAATTGTTTCTTCTCTCCCTTTTCTGTGTGTTTTCCTCAATGAACACAGATTACTTTTCTCATCAGAAGGTATCTTAAAAGCAGCTCTTCTCGAGTGTCTAAGGGTTTCTGTAGGGGCATTTTATTCCTAGGACTGCTTTTTTTTTTTTTTTTTTGAGACGGAGTTTCGCTCTTGTTTACCCAGGCTGGAGTGCAATGGTGCGATCTCGGCTCACTGCAATCTACGCCTCCTGGGTTCAGGCAATTCTCCTGCCTCAACCTCCTGAGTAGCTGGGATTACAGGCACGCACCACCACGCCCAGCTAATGTTTTGTATTTTTAGTAGAGACGGGGTTTCACCATGTTGACCAGGATGGTCTTGATCTCTTGACCTCGTGATCCACCCACCTCGGCCTCCCAAAGTGCTGGGATTAGCCACCGCGCCCAGCCCCTAGGACTGTTTTAAGTGCCTTTGTTAAAAACATAACTTCTGGCAACATAGCCTCGTCTGAGTCCAAATAAGAAAATATGATTTTAATCATGGCCCAGCAATTAACTCAGTAAAGTGTTTTGTAAACGTGTTGATTCATTTTGTAAACTCTCATTTGTTTTCTGTAGTCAAAGCTGAATGCCTTAACGAACCTGTAAAATTCTCCTTCCTGGACATCATTAAGATTTTTTTTTTTTTTTGTAGTACTAAACTAGCAAAGCAACAAATTCTAAAACGTTCTTTTTAAGAAAAAAAATGACAGTTCCTAAAGTTATTTTATCAGTGCAATTTTTCTACGGCTCTCAAAGTGGTCTTATGTCTTTTCAATATAGATACTTTAGTTTATTGCCAGAAAGTGACTTCGTGGTTAAAAAAGAACCAGGAAGATAAAAAAGCAGCAAAAGATTGAGAATGAACTGGGGGAAAAAAAAAAGACGTTCACGTAGAAATTTCAGAAAATAACATCATTAAATAACTAGTTCCCCAAGCTCATAAGCTCATAAACAATTTAGGATGTCAAAGAGAACAACATTGAGAAAGACCACAAATAAAGGGCAAAAATAATATGTTATTATCGCAGTGTAAATTACACAAGACAATGGTTTTGGCCAATTCATCACAAAGGATATCAGGATTTTCCCTATGACTCTTATGATGTAGCATTCTTTAAAAACAGTTTCCAAAGGATGTGAGAATGGAGGCCCTTAAAATTTAAAGAAAACATAAAAGTCACAGTAAAATTCACATGAAAGTTCTTACTTCTTCCTCTCAGACCCTAATATCCTAAACAAATCTTTAAAGTACTGAGGGACGCGAACCACCACGTTCTCTGAGGGGCCGATGTCTTTCAGGTGGGGGTAGAGTCTGGTGTCAATGACCTTCTTGATGTAGCCCAGCCAGTCGAACTGAGGGGAGAGAGAACAAAACAGAATGAGAGAATGTCTGTTAGGTAGCAAGTAAGAAAAGCAGATAGAGTAGATTGAGCATCATTCATTTCTTGTGATTTCACACTCAATAATTCAAGATGCAACTATTCAAGTCTAGAAAAAAACTCCTGATCATTGCCATCCAGACCTATTGTCTTTTTTTTTTTTTTTTTTTTTTTTTTTTTGAGACAGTGTCTCACTCTGTCACCCAGGCTGGAGTGCAGTGGCGTGATCTCAGCTCTGCCTCCCAGGCTCAAGTGATTCTCCTGCCTCAGCCTCCTGGGTAGCTGGAATTAAAGACCCACCACTACACCCAGCTAATTTTTTTTTTGTATTTTTAGTAGAGACGGAATTTCACCATGTTGGCCAGGCTGGTCTTGAACTCCTGACTTCAAGTGATCCACCCACCTTGGCGTCCCAAAGTGTTGGGATTACAGGTGTGAGCCACCGTGCCCAGCCAGACCCATTGTCTTAATCACAAATGGAAACGTGTTGTGTACCATCTGCATCCGGATAACACTCAGCCACACACTGACAGTAATATGTACTCTCACTCCCTCAGCCCCTTCCAAAACTCCACCTCCTTCCTGAACTCTCCCCACTGTCTTTCTCTCTCCATTCTGCTCTCTCCCCTTCCTATACTCTTCCTCTGTTCTATACTTTTCATCTTTCTTCCTCCCATACTCTCCCTTTTCCTCCCTCCCATACTGTTCCCTCCTTCTCTCCTGCATTTCCCTTCCTCCTTCTGAATTCTTCCTCTATACTGTACATTTTCTCTCTCCCTCCCTCCCTCTCTGTCCTGTACTCTCCCTCACTTTACATTCTACTTACATACAGAAACAGATGCCCCAGTACGTAACTAGTCTCTCTGACACAGCCTTTAAAAAAAAAAAAAACAGCAGGTGTTTTTTAGATTGGCTACCCTAAAAGTCATTTCCCAACCTTTTCTCCCTTGCCTGTGTCCACGGTTAAAATGGAAAGCCAGTTTCTCACTTGCCCAACCTCCCCTGCGGTTAGGGGTGGCCATGTGACCCAATCCTACTCAACAAGAAATAAAGGGAAGACATCTGGAGATGTTCTGGAAACTCTTTTTTGTTTTTCCTAGTAAAATACTTAGACACATCACTGGCCCTTTCCCCTTCTTCCTGCTCTGACAGCAGATGTGATAGATGGAGCTGTGATGGATACCTTGCAACCGTGACTCATCAGACATGAAGTCAAAAAGCCAACACACTAAACAGTGTAGGATGGAAAGACAGAACTTTGGCCTTTGACAACACTATTAAACAGCTGAGCCAGTGCCAACAACTGCCTATATCTGGACTTTTGTCATATGAGAAATAGACTTTCAGTTTCGAAGCCACTATTGGAAAAATTTTCTGTTCCCTATAACAGAAGGTATCCCAATACACAGACAAGGGATATTTTATGTGATTGTTGACAAAGATGATGATAACCACAAAGACTGAGAGTAGGTTTTACAAGACAGTAATTTACACACAGATGAAATCCAATCCCTTCTAAAATGACCAGTTGAGAGCAAGTTTTCTGGATAGCTTTCACCAACCTGGGGAATCATAGCACTCAGTTCAGAAATGTTCATTTTGTTGTACATGGCCTCACTAGTTCGGTTTTCATGTGGAATCATTATCTGTTGGAAAGAGATTTGGGTTATTTTTTTTTTCAAGTGAACCATTTCTTACGGTATGACTATTTCCTACATGTGCCAAAACATCTGCATAGTATTATAAAGTTTTTCAAGACTTTGGTGTGGTGCCCAACTTGGGGGGAGAGAAAGAAAGACATCCCTTTAGGCAGGACTAAGAAAATGAACTTTCACATCAACCTCTGTGTGAAATATTGTCCCCAGTACAAACAGAACTACCCAAAGTCTCCCTCCCAAGCTATAACGTGGATGGGCAAAATCTATTGCTGGCTCAATTTTGATCATCAAACTTAAGTTGGACAATTGAGGTAAACATCCCACTGTCACCTGTGGCCTCCAGATAATGATCTCAATATTTCATTAAGCACAGACCATCCCTCCACGTCCGGGGCAAATTTTCACTGATGAACACAAGACTGGATGCCACTGCTCCCTGTGATCATTTTGTCAACAGCTCATTCCCTCACTTCCCCTGTTGTTTCTTTGGCCTTGAGATTCCTCTAGCCCCATTGCTGGGGGTATGGATTCAGTTACCGCCTAGACACACATTTCAAAATCTGCCTCTCTCTAGCCCTGACTTTATACGCTTTCCATTCCCAATACTCATGCTCTTGGCCATTTGACCAACACCAAATCTGATCTTTGCTAAATGTGTCAGTGCCCTTAGCTTCCCTTTGCTCACCTTCCACAGGAGAGACCACACGTAATTTACAAACAGCCTCCTGGCTCTGTGTGAATCACTGCCTCAGAGAATATCCACACTCCTCTTCACCAACCCCTCCGACCTTGGAGTCTCACAGCCCAAAGTTGGAGCCCTTTGGCCTCAGAGCTGTTTTCAGCTCTCTGCCAGCCACTCCCCGCCACACAATAGATTTGTCACTTCATTTTGCCTCTTGACAAGTCCCAGTCTTGCCTCAACCCAACTGTTTTTAGTTCCCTTTCTGGTCCAAATCTCTGGCTCAGGGCAAGGCTTTTCCTGCTGTTTCAGACTTTTGGTCCAAATAAGAACCCTGGGCCTCCTATTTGCCTGGAAAGAGAATTCAGACAGACTCTAGACATGGCTCAGAGGCACAGCCCTGGACTTCAAAACATCTGCAGCCGTCTTCACAGTCTTCAAAGGTGACATGCAGGAATGAACTTTTTGCACTGCAAGGAGTTTGGAGAGAGGTATACACGAACATCATCACAGCAAAGAGAGGGACCGATTCCTCCTTCCCCTCATCCTTCACCCTACTCCATAGCCCATCACCGCCCCACCTAACCCAACACAAAACCGATCAACACTGGACTTTTACTCAGTTCGAGATTTTTACCAACTTCTCTTGTAAAAGATTCCCAACATATATGCAAAAGTTTCTTGGTAAAAAGTATCATTGTTTTTCACTACAGGGTTTCCCCAGAAGCAGATTTTACCACATTTGTTCCCTCTTGGCCTAGGAACACATAGAGAGATTTCTACATTTTGTTTCTTCTAGAAAAAAAGTTTCTCCATAAACAAAGCTAACCATTAGGAGTTCCCATTATTTGCCCACATGTTTGTTTTGACATCTTTTTGTCTCCACAATGAGCCAAAAAGAAGTTAAGGTGATTTACACAGACATGTAGTTGTGTTTCATGTATATGACACAATTATATGCCTTAAAGTAGGGCGAGAAAAGAATGAAAAACAGGGGCAGGTACAAAGTAATACCAGAAAGGTCATTTATAAATGCTTACCAGCATGCCCTAACTACTTCTATATCAACTTTTATATCCAGTATTGGCAAACAGGCTTCCCTGAGCCCAGAACTTAAGCCAGAGTGACTCTGAATGGGGATAGCATAAAACATGGGCTGGATTTAGCAACCTTCCATTCAAGCCAAATTACTAAGGATTTATTAAACATCTATCTTCTATTTAAGCCAAACATGAGTTTCTTCAAGAAAAGTGGTCAGAGGATCTCTCTGCTGCTATTCTTTGGTCCCAGTTGAGCAACATATGGACACTGAATGGGCTTAAACCAGGGAGGTGGAAGGAACGAAGAGCTCTTCTGTCACAGTCCTTCTTGTTACTTCCTAGAGGGGATGCTATTAGTTCTACCTTGAACTCAAAGGGCAATGACACAAAATGCTATTATTTGGTTGCAATTTATATTTTCATTCAGGACATACTGCCTTTAAAATAAGGGGGGAAAATGAAGTAAAGAAAGATTTTCAGTGAAGACTTACCTCAGCTATCTTAATTTCCAATCTAAGCACTGACTTCATGTCATGCTCTGCTCTGGAACTGTTAGCTCCTAAAAGCACAGCAGTGTCCACCATGAACTTGTAAAGGGCATCCCGATACTGTAGGAAATAAAGAAGAAAGTGACCATGACCATAGCCTATTAGGAAATATGTTTCAGAGACATGGAAAAGCAGAAACAGCAGGTGGAAGTAAACATCTTTTATTTCCACTCTGTACTCAAAGGATGGTGCAGGCATTATGCAGTACCAGCCACCCACATATCACTCTGGCAGAAAAAAAGAGTGATGGCTACTTGCTTACTGTTTCCATGACAGACAGAGATGTCCAGCCATCAAGCATCAAGAGAATTAGTTTTCTGGCAACTGTCGATATTATGGATACATGAAATGACTCCAAATGAGACAAGAATAGAAAGTTAAAGGTCAGATGTCCTTTTCCCAGACAAATGAGGCATTAATGAAATAATGGGAAAGAGCTGTTTCTAAAAGCAGGAGGCCTGATCCATAAAGAATGGTGGGAGGTGTGATTTATTCTCCTACAACTCAATTTACCCACCTTCACACTAAGAAATAAAAGACCAGTGACAGCAGCCCTATGTCTTTTCAGTTTTTTACAGTTTTCACAAAGTTCTGTTCCCTAGCTCAGGAAAAAAATAAATAAATAAATAAAAGGAGAAAAGAGAGGAATGATGATGAGAAACCTAACAAATAGCAAATATAGAATTTCCTTCCTACATATTCATAAACCCATTTTGGAGCTACTCATATGCCATTGCATGGGGTGGGGGTGACCTTACTTCATGGGAATTAAAGAATTGCATTAGGCCCACCTCTCATTTCGGATGTATTTGTGAGATCTCAACACACCAGGTATCAAATGACCTCCTTCTCATGCTTTGGGAATAAGACTTACTAATGTGTATCTTGACTCTGTAAGCTATTCTTACTATGTGTGTGACCTCAGGGCCTATACGGTGCTTAGCATACAGCAGGCCTTTAATAAATCTTTGATCAATCAGTAAGCAAGCTTTAAAAATAGTCTTAAATAGAAATAATATTTTGCTATTCCCAGTTCAATTCAAAACATATTTATTGACCAGGCATGGGGGCTCATGCTTGTAACTCCAACACTTTGGGAGGCAGAGGTGGGCGGATCACTTGAGGCCAGGAGTTTGAGACCAGCCTGGCCAACAAGGTGAAACCCTGTCTCTACTAAAAATACAAAAATAAGCCCAGCGTGGTGGCATGCGCCTGTAATTGCAGCTACTTGGGAGGCTGAGGCGGGAGAATCGCTTGAACCCAGGAGGCAGACGTCGCAGTGAGTCAAGATCATGCCACTGCACTCCAGCCTGGGAAACACAGCAAGACTCTATCTAAAAAGAAAAAAACACACGTATTTATTGAATACCTACTCAAATGTGCAAGGTGGCTTGATAGGCCCTCTGTGCATATGTTAGGAGATGGTGGTACAGACAAAAAAAAAAATGCTGTGCCTGGTTCCCAAACAGTACATGATCCCGTGAGGGAGATAAACACATAGTTACTAACTGTAACATTAAAGACATCAATATAACAACCTTAAAGCTGCTACCTGCTTAGAAACTCAAGAGCTGGAGATAAAATCTTGCCTGGAGAAATTGGGGACATAGCATTTGAGGGAGACTGGTTCAGATGCAGTGAAAATCCTGTGAGGTGGGTGATACAGTTTGGCTGTGTCCCCTCTCAAATCTCACCTTGAATTGTAGTAATTCCCACATGTCAAGGGTAGGGCCAAGTGGACATAACTGAGTCATAGGGGTGGTTTCGCCTATACTGTTTTCATTGTAGTGAATAAGTCTAATGAGATCTGATGGTTTTATAAATGGGAGTTCCCCTGCACAAGCTCTCTTGTGTGCCACCATGTGAGACATGACTTTGAAGGCCTCCCCAGCTATGTGAAAGTGTGAGTCAATTAAACTTCTTTTCTTTATAAATTACCCAGTCTCAGGTATGTCTTTATTAGGAAAGTGAGAATGAACTAATACAGGGGGCAAACTGCTTTTGTTGGGGGAAGAACAAATCCAGATGAGACAGGAAAGATTACTTGGGGTAAAGTCATGAGGAGGTCTTGAAAGCCCTCTAAAGAATTTAGACCCTGTCTTGGAAGCAAAGGCATGCTGAGAGCAGTGCTTTAAGAACAGAACTTGTCAAGGAGCTAAGGAGGCAATGTGATGAAGGAGCGGCAGTAACGGTTAAAAGGCCGCTTGCTATAGTCAAGGCAAGGAGTTAACAAGAATCTGACCTATAGCAGTCAAGATAGAAAAGAGGGACCAACTGGATGGAAGAGATATTTTTAAAGTGGAATCACTAGGACTTGACTGATAGGTTACAGGGGAGATGATTTTGAGCCTACTTGCTGAGGCTCCATCAAAACCGGAGGTATACCCTCCCTCCACACTGGCAAATGTTCATTCTGTCCACTTTTAGGAAGGAAAACTTGCCAACCCTCTTTGATGAGTATCCTCAGCAAGAAAGCTGCCTAGCATCTTAGCTAGCTTCCCTCCAGAGTCTTCTATATATAGAAGTTAGTATCAGCACAGACCCAGGGGACCTAGGTCTGAGGCTCCTTTGGAAGTTCAATAAAGCCTCCAAATGAACTGAATCTGTCAGAAATGAACCAGCTCTTTCCAAATCTAGGAAACTGCTAGACTTCCATGCCAACCAAAAAGCCTAACTTGATTGATCCTTTCTGATTCTTACTAAACCTCCATTAACCTGGAGCACCTGTTAAAAATACAGATTCTCAGACCCTGCCTAAAGTATACTAAGTCAGACTGTCCAGGTCTGTGACCCAAGGAGCAATATTTAATGGAAGCCTCCCAAGTGATTCTAAAGGAGTACAACGTGGGAAACATTTGTCTCCTGGGTATCCCTTCTGATGCTTTATTTCTGTAATTGATAGTGAGCTCTCTGCACTTCTGAGGAATGAATGACTGCAAGCTCATTTCTTTGTTACTTCATTTGGGTGTGCTGTCTCCCAAGCTAGATAATAAGGGCATTGAGTATGGAGACTTGTACAGCCTTGATGTGCAGACTTCTGGAAAGACAGGGAGTAGAATTTATCTGCCTGAATAAAAGAATTCCTGCATTCGAAATATGGTCATTGAATAGCCACACTGCTAATTTCCAGTAAAGAAGCAGTGACCTTAGAACAACTGATGGACCTGACAGCAGCCTTGATAAGGCACATAGTTGAATATGAGTAAAACTTACAGACTTGGCTTCTGTACTGTTATCAAGGTAGTCTTCCCTCACAGCTAGGGAGAGTGTCGCTTGGTCCAGCTGTAAGAAGAAAAACAGAAAGCATTCTGCTAGCACTGTAAATTCCTGTGCACCATGTTAACAAGAGTCATGAGATCATCTGCATCTCAGCATATTTTGAACTCATGTCACCATTACAAAAAGAATTCACTACACTCAGAACTACATGCAAATAGGCACTTTGGCAATGACAGATGTAATAAAGTATCAGAGACCTGCCCCTGCTTTTCTAATTTATGTTTTCTAAAGCTTTTGAGGTCCTTTCAACACTGAATAGCAACAAGGCTATTTCAGTTAGAATAGACCTTAGAGATTATTAGCTATTCCCCCTTATTCAATGGGAAGAGAAACAAAAGCCAGATAACTGATGTGACTCTCCTAAGGTAACATGGTTGGGCAGAGCTCACACTAAAATCGTTGTCTCCTATCACCAGATTGAGTATTTTTCTCATCACAGGATTTGCAAAATGCCAATCTAGATAGAGTTGATTAGACTTTCCAACTCCTTATCTCTAAAATAACATATAGCATTGATTTTTTTATTTGAATGGAATCAAATCATAATTTTGTCTTGAGAAACCTTTGCAAATGTTAGAACCCTCTCTAGAAGGTTTAGGATAACTGATGAAAACACAAAGAATAACCAGACAACTAAGTAGAATTATGGTGATAGAAAAGTATAGTATAAATTCTTGAATTAAAATTTTCAGCACCTTAGGCCAGGTACGGTGGCTCACACCTGTAATCCCAGCACTTTGGGAGGCCAAGGCAGGCAGATCACTTGAGGTCAGGCATTCAAGACCAGGCTAGCCAACATGGTGAAACCCCGTCTCTACTAAAAATACAAAAATTAGCTAGGTGTGATGGTGTGCTCCTGTAATCCCAGCTACTCAGGAGGCTGAGGCAGGAGAATTACTTGAACCCAGGAGGTAGGGCTGCAGTGAGCCAAGGTCACACTCCAGCCTGGGCAAGAGAACAAAACTGTCTCGAAAAAAAATAAAAAATAAAAAATTTCAGCAACTTGAAGGTAAACGAAATAAAGCAGTCTTTCCAAAGAGCATGTTAGAAAATCTGGACATCCAGGCCAGGTGCGGTGGCTCACGCCTATAATCCCAGCACTTTGGGAGACCAAGGCAGGTAGATCACTTGAGGTCAGGAGTTCAGGACCAGCCTGGCCAACATGGTGAAATCCCATCTCTACTAAAAATACAAAAATACAAAAATGAGCCAGGCGTGGTGTCACGTACCTCTAATTCTAACTACTTGGGAGGCTGAGGCAGGAGAATTGCTCGAACCCAGGAGGCAAAGGTTGCAGTGAGCTGAGATGGTGCCATTGCACTCTAGCCTGGGTGACAGAGTGTGACTCTGTCTCAAAGAAAGAAAAGAAAAACTGGGCATCCATAAACAAAAACAAAATAAGCCTTTACTCATACCTCACATCTTATTCAAAAATTAACTGAAAATGAATCATAGCCCTAAATGTAAAACCTAAAACTATAAAATTTCTACAAGAAAACACTGGGAAAAATTTCTGTTACTTGGGATCAGACTAAGAGTTTTTAGACATGACAATAAAATCACAATCCTTAAAGGACAAAAAAATAAATCAGACTTTATCAACATTGAAAAAAATTGCTCTTCAAAGAAACAGAAGAAGAAGACAAGCCACAGAATAGGGAAAATATCTGAAAATCACATATATGACAAAGGACATGTATCTAGAACACACACAGATTCCTCAAAACTCAACCATAAGAAAACAACTCAATTTAAAATTGAGCAAACAATTCTAACAGACACTTCATCAAATGATATATGAAGAGAGAAATAAGCACATGAAAATATGCCCAACATTATTAATCATTAGGAAAATGTAAATTAAACCAGCAATAAAACACTACTATAGATCTGTTAAAATGGAAAAAAAAATCTGACGACTGCCAGTGGAGATGTGGAAAAGGAATGCAAAATCGCACAGCCACTTTGGAATGGAACCAATTTTACAGTTTCTTATCAAGTTAAACATACATTTACATAAGAACCAGCAACCCTACTTCTAGGTATTTACCCAGGAAAAAAATGTTAAAAGTCACACAAAAACCTGTATGTAATTTTATTCATAATCACCCAAAACTGAAAACAACCCAAATGTCCTCTATCTAATGAAAGCATAAACTGTGGCATACAATGGAATATTACTCAACAATAAAAGGGAACAAACTGATACAACATGGGTAAATCTTACTTACATCCTGAAAAAAAAAACTTTACAGGAACAGAGAACAAAGTGATGGCTGACAGGGTTTGGGCATGAGGAGAGGGCTTGACTTAGCAAAGCGGTAACATGAGGTATCTGGAGGTGGGTGATGAGACTATTTCTTGATTACAGCGGTGGTTACATGACTCTACGCATTTGTCAAAACTCAAACACGTACATCACAAAAAATAAATTTATGTAAATTTTAAGATACTTAAAAAAAATTTCCCCGGAAATTAATTACATTTTAAAAAAAAAATTTCCAGCACCTTCGCTAAATCTATAGTTTTTTCTTTCCCGAATATCAGTAACTGACTAAAGACTAAATAAAATGGATCTCAGGAGCACTAGATTTTTCCAAATTAAAGCTCTAATTCGCACATTAAACATTAAGCCAAAATAATAAGACACAATTCTAACAAATTATAAATTAGTAACACCTGAATAAAAACTGAATCCTACATGCCCATACCATTAGTGTATATGACTTTAAATTGTTTTGATACATCTCCTCCATTTTCTTTTTCATCTTACCATAATCTTATTTTATTCTAAAATACATAAATTCATATACGATTATCGTTTCCATGAAACTCCCCTTAATATACAACAAATTTTTCAAAGGCCACGATAAGAATTAGTGATATTATGAAAAATTCCAGGAAAAACATAGCTCGTTTCAGGGGGAAAAAAACGCACTTTCAAAACATCCATCTTGTCTGTGTACACTGCTAAAATCCTCAAATTATTTTGTTCAACCTTCCCTAATTGGCCTGAAACAATGAAGTCACAAGCCTTCCTGGCTTCACCCTACTGCAATTCCCAATCTGCCCCTGTTTCTTCCAAAAATTAAGCAAACCACAATCATGAAACATAATATTATGATTAAGACACTTTGGCTTTCAATTAAATCTGGACCACTTGAAGAATCTTTTGAGCTTGAGTCTCATAGGAAAGGAAACTGTGTAGACATTATCAAGAAAGCCAAATTTTCCCTCTCATGAAATAAAGTTAAAGCCACTTATTATAAAAGTTTTAATAATTCAAGTGAGGTTACCAGACCTTTTATAAACTTTCAGATTGTTATGGTTTCTAGGGAACATTTTAAACACACCAACCAACAAACTGAATAAGTTCAAATAAATCTCATTAGAAACATACAAACTCTTGAGGCAAAAAGACTTTCTCATGAAGCCATCAGAACACTGTGTCACTTGAGATTTTTTAAATCCTTGCATTTACAACTGATCTGAATATTGTAAGTAGAAAATAAAATATGTTCTTAGGAAATTCAATACACTTAACTGAAAATACGAATTTTTTCTCCAATTGCAACTGGCATTCCAATTATAATAAACCTCAAGTTAGAAGACAAAGTAGTAATACGAAAAGAAACATCTTACAAATTATGAGGTAGGAAATGGAGTCTGGACTTCAGGTTTCAAAATAGTGACATAGACACAAACTGGCTTCCCTCCCCTCTCCAATATATATATGAGAAACTAAAAACACATACACAGCACTAAGATTCTCACCAGCAATAACCCAGAATTCAAATATAAGGATGATTTCACTTCTCTGAGGCCACAGAGAAGTCAAAAAACTCCAAGCAGACATAAGAGAATCAAATTCTCTATGATGCCCTTCTGACTAATCTGTCCAGCAGCAAGCATGCAGAAATTTTCTCTGACTCATAGTTTCTACACTAGAAAGTGAGATCAAGGTGGACAACCAGCTTCCCCATCATCTTGGGTTCTTTGACAGAAGACCTGCCCATGCCTTAACCCACAGAAGGCATCATGAGTGCCTGAAGGGAGATATATTCCTGAAGACAGCAAGAGACAAAGAAGGGAAGTGGGACTACCAGACTCGGTCCTGGAACTCTGCTCCTTAACTTGGCCAAAGGAGACATGAAGTCAGAGTGGCTGTTCAGCAGCATTATGCTATAGGAGGTTCATTCCACAGGTCCCCTACATGCTAACCCCTAGCCAGTTTTTCCACACTGCCAGGAGGATATCCTCTTTGGGACCTCCCCTATATCTGGACTGGGACTGCTCTGATATTTGGCTAGAGTCAAAGCAAACGTAGGCTTAAGGTACCGTTTAGTAACAGAAAAAAAGGCAAGGACCTCATGAAGAAATAGCAATATATCACCTATCACAATTATAAATACCTATGCAGCCAACACTGGAGCACGTAAGTATCTAAAGGGAGAGGGGGGCTGCAGTACAATAATGACAGGGAACTTCAACACTCCACTCTCAGTAACGGACAGATCATCTAGACAATCAACAAAGAAACCTCGGAGTTCAACTAGTCACTAAGCCAAATAGGCCTAACTGACATTTACAGAACGTTTCACCCAATTGCTGCAGAATACATATTCTTCTTATTGCCACATGGAACATTCTCTAGAATAGATCATATTTTAAGCCACAAAATAAGTTTCCACAAATTCAGAGAAGTAGAAATCATGTCAGTTATCTTTTCTGACCACAATGAAACTAGAAATCAATAATAAGAGGAACTTGGAAAATACACAAACACATGGAACATTTTTTTTTTTTAAATAAGAGTCCCACTTTGTTGCCCAGGCTACAGAGCAGTGGCACGATCTCAGCTCACTGCAACCTCCACCTTCCAAGATCAAGCAATTCTCCTACTTCAGCCTCCCAGGTAGCTGGGATTATAGATACCCACCACCATGCCAGGCTAATTTTTATATTTGTAGTAGATTTCACCATGTTGGTAAGGCTAGTCTCTA